TATTTATCAGTCTGGCGAGTAAACAAAAAAATGTACTAGCCAATGGCGATTCAATTGCCAAGGTGTTCGTAGAGGGCTGTGTAACGATTCACTCGTTTTCTCGATGCATCGATTACAAACCCTGACGATGCATATGCATCGATCTTGAAACATGGATTTTTGAATCGTGAATCGTCGATTTCGGACAGTAATCGATTTAAAACACTAAGAATCGAATGTATCAAAATATATACACATTAAATTACTACACGCATGACTTAATGGAGACCTTGAACAGTGTTCGTGCCCTCGCATCTCTCCTTCACGCGCTCCACTATTTACCGCCTGCAGGGACTGTCACAGGATTGCGCTCGCGCTGCATTCATCTCACTGACACATTTTTGATCAGCTGATGTGTGATCTCTCCTTAGTACTCGTAGCCAGTAATGTTAAAGAGAAGTAGTTTTGCTTTTCTGTAGTTTTTCGATGGCTCTCGGTCATACCGATGACATTACCTGAGCAGTCGAAGGCTGCGCATTTATTGCATGGACGGAGCAAAAATGTAAGTGTCTAAGGAATAGAATATGCACAGTTCCATTGAATGATAAATGTGTTTTAACAATGTCGTTCAACCGAATGTACGAAGGAAACTGATAAAATAACCAGAGCATTAACAACAACCTTGAAATAAGAGCGCGAGGATTATCTGATAATCAGATGCACGAAAGTAGCATTCGTTGCTATCAAACAGACATCGGGCGCGTTTTCTTTCAGAATCATCATTCGCCGATGGAGAGAAAAAGTTAAATACTATAGCATTTTATTGAGATAAGAAAATAATTCCTTGTAAAAAAAATCTTAATAAAACATACATACATACATCTATTGTATTTGACATTTCTGTCACTTCTGAAATGATGGCTATGCCCCTGGTGTGACAAAATGTTAACCTATACATAATACTTTTAAAGTTCTTTTTTAAAATCTTGGCTTACATAAATTTCTACATATGCCATGTCATGCCATCGCATCATTAAACTAGCATCTAACAATGGACAAACGTGTTTTTTTTTCCCTCTAACCTATTTTAAAGCTCTTTTTTAAAATCTTGGCTTACATAAATCTTTACATATGCCATGTCATGTCATAGCATCATTAAACTAGCATCTAACAATGGACAAAAGTTTTTTTTTTTTCTGCAACCTCTAACCATAAAGGCTGCTAATAATTATATTGTATTCGTGCATTTGGTCTTAAAGTGACAGCAGCCTAAAAATCTGTATTTTGTGTCTTTTGTTAATCAAACAGCAAAACACATCTTTAACAAAGATTAATCTATATTTAATTTATACAGTGAACACTATGCAGTGTTATTTTATACTTAATTATTACATTTCTGTACCTGAAAACTACTGTTAGATTTTATTTCATTTGTAACTTTGTTCTATTATGCATCTATGTTTGTAATTTGTGTAATTGTTCTTATTTTATTACTGACTGTTTACCTGTCTTTAATTTATTTTATTTTTTTTTAATTATCCAGTCTGTGACTGAAAAAACAAACAAAAAAAATAATATGATTCGAACCGTGAGTTTTGTGATCCATTGCAACCCTAGAACATAGGAATGACCTCCTGTCGTGGACCACTGATTACTTTAGCATTTAGAACTGTTTATATTCTGTGTGGTGGTTCACAGCAGTGATAGAAGTTTTTTCATTAATGCACAATATTTGCCACCTTAAACTGATTTACATTGGTATTTTTTATGTTTAAGGCCATTTTCTCCTAACCTTATTGCATGTACAGTATGTCATCTTTTATATACATTTTTTTTAAATTTAATAAATAGTCAATTAGAATAATAATACACTATAGGCTGTTACCAATCAAATTAAATCATTAACAATGAAATCCTGCAAAAGTGGCACAAAAGCTGCATCTAATTAAGCATTTAGATGAATTTACACTGCAATTACAACTTCATAAATAATACTGTGAGATTGTTTTAAAAGTCATATTTTCTTTCTTTTTTTTGAATGAAATGATAGCTAAAAAAAGAAAAGTCACAAAGTCATTTGTTCAGAACCCATGGCAGAAGATTGGTTTTGTGCTCAGTGACCCATTTTTGTTTTGATTTTGATGTTTGTTTTTGGATCATTGTCCTGTTGGAAGATCCAACCATGGCCCATTGTATGATTTCTAGCAGAGAGAGTCGGCTTTTTTTTTAAAAATTTTTGTTATCATCTGTTGCTGTTTGATAGAATCCATGAAGCCATGTATCTGAACAAGATGTCCAAGATCTCTGGCAGAAAAATAGGCCCACAACATTAAAGATACAGCAGTATATTTAATTTTACACATGGGGTACTTTTTTTATCCCTATGTGCACCAAACCCAACTTCAGTGTTTGCTGCTAAAAAGCTTATTTTTTAGTTTCATCTGACCATAGAACCTGTTATTAGCTGACGGGAGTGGCACCCAGGGTGGTCTTCTGTTGCTGTAGTCCATCTGCTTCAAGGTTCGACGTGTTGTACGTTCTTCTGCATACCTCAATTGTACCGAGTTGTTATTTGAGTTACTGTTGCCTTTTTTGGCAGCTCAAACCAGTCTGGCCATTCTCCTCTGACCTCTGGCATCCACAAGGCATTTTCACCCCCACAGAACTACCGCTCTCTCCATATATTCTCTTCTTATGACTATTCTCTGTTTTGCGTGAAAATCTGAGTAGATCAATACTTAAACCAGCAACAACAACCATGCCATGTTCAAAATCACTTAAATCACCTTTCTTCACCATTCTGATGCTCGGTTTGAACTTCAGCAGTTTGTCTTTAACATGTCTACATGCCTAAATGCATTGTTGCTGCCATGTGATAGATAGGCTGATTAGAGATTTGCGTTAATGAGCAGTTGAACAGGTGTACCTAAAAGGGTGTATATACTGTATATTTAATGAATGACATAACTTAACAACTTAACTCTTCATTAAGTTTGCGGATGACACGACTGTAGTGGGTCTCATTAGCAACAGAGATGAGACAAACTATAGGAGCGAGGTATAGTTGTATTTTATATTTAATCTGTATATCTGTATTTATGTTCTACTGTTAGTGTTATCTGTATGCACCAAGGGTCTGAGAGTAACGCAATTTCAATTCTCTGTGTGTATGTGCTGTACATGTGGAAGAATTGATAATAAAGCAGACTTGACTTGACTTGACTTGAATTAATTAATTAATTAAAGTATATGTTTTAAGGACCACTGGTTCCCAAGAAATCCCATTTGTCAAACTCAACTAATCAATCACCTGTGCTTCCTGCAGAATGTGGAGAGGAAGAAAGGCCTCCCGACTCGGCGGACGTTTGACATTGAGGGTAAGCAGTGGTCATCCTCCAGAACTTTGTTTGTGTTATTTATACAGAGCACACTCAAAAGAGACTTAGGTGAACATCAAAAAAAATTGTGCTATGGACTACACTTCAGAGATTGAACTTTGTGGTTTAGTGTATTTATGTTTATACAGTGAAGCAGGTTAACATGAGCTGCCATTTTTTTCTCAGCAGCTTATCAAATTAAATTTGGTAATAATGTCACTTTAGATGCAGTTTTTCTGCCACCTCTTTAGTGCGAAGTTAACTTTTGTTGATGCTGATTTAATTTGATTGGAAACAGCCTGATTGTCTCTTATTATTCGAACTGAATTTGTTTTAACAAAATATTTAGAAAAACAAATTAAGAATTTGACATGACAGATGACACATTTAAAGGGGTCATATGATGTTGCTAAAAAGAACATTATTTTGTGTATTTGGTGTAATGAAATGTGTTTATGCAGTTTAAGGTTAAAAAACACATTATTTTCCACATACTGTACATTATTGTTTCTCCTCTATGCCCCACCTTTCTGAAACGCGTCGATTTTTACAAAGCTCATGGGTCTGAAAAGCGAGGTGTGCTGTGATTGGCCAGCTATCCAGTGCGTTGTGATTGGCTGAATACCTCAAGCGTGTGACGGAAATGTTACGCCCTTTACCATACTGTGAAGGCGTGTCCCGGCTGGAGTGACGAGACAAAAACATTAAAACCCATTATAAACGAGGCATTTGTTGCATCCAGTGGGGACATAATTACGGATTATAGTGACTTATACTGTCTTTTTACGTGTTGCATTGCATCGCGCCACGTAAACATAAAACCATGTCTGAATTTGTGATTGGAGAAATGACAAACAACAAGCCCTACTCTACACTGCTCAAAACTCGCGTTTGAATCATCAGTGGCAAATCCTTTAAATATGAAACGTACTTACAGTCTGTGAGTCAGAACATCCGGCATTGTAGTCTACTCTTCCAGGATCAGGAAACAGTCCTCCATAAAATGCGCTGGACACATCTGAATATCTGGACCTGAATAACTGAATAACTTAACCACTGATTTCTAGTCGTGTCCTCTTTTGGAAGGCCAAACAAAGTAGTTTCGCTTTCACAACGAAACACACGGCGGGCTTGAGTGAGTGGCAGCCGGTGGGCTTGAGAACGGCGCGGCCGGCATTCGACGAAGGAGTGGCCGGCGGGCTTGCGGCAACCAAATGTCATGACCCCGGGCTGGACTCCGCTTCGTCCATAGTGAAAGCCGATCCAGCGATCCACAGCACGAAGTTGATGTATTTCCTCAGCGACCAGCACGGATCTTGCAACTTTACAGATCTTCTTTATGCACCAAGAGCTTGTAACACTTCAAAGAGAAAGGAAAAATTGAAATTGCATCATATGGCCTCTTTAATTTGGTTTGAAAAAATGCTCTTCCAAACGTAAAAAAACATGCCCGTGATTTGTTTGTAAATATTGTAACTTTGTCACTGATCAGAATATGTTCCTAAATTTTTGACTGTTCTCCTAAAATGTTTTTGCTCATTCCTTATCAGTATCTGCTAATCAGGCAGTTTTAGTGTTGGCGATGCTATGTTAATTGAGTCAAATGGAGTGAAGAAAAATTTCTGTGATTAATTAAAAAAATTTTAAGTTTATACATTTTTAGAGATTAAACACAATCAAACATTTAGGGTGTGTTCACACTTGTAGTTCGGTTCGTTTGGTTCAGTTGGTCCGGACCAAAAAGGAAAATTATACATTTGGTCCTGGTCCGCTTAGCATTCACATTGGTATTTTTGACAGCGAACCTAAAGACACCGAACCTAAAGGCATAGTGATACGTTCACAACCTGATTGGTCAGCTTGAATGACGTATATATCATGACGAAACTAACCGAACACCCCAAACAAAAGGTGCTTTAAGACTTAAAGCGGCGCTGCGGGTGTATGATATCAAAGCATCCATTAACCGATCGGTTCGCTCAACGCTGCTTTAAGTTGAACCCACCTAATGCCGTCTGCTGGACTAAGCGCGCTCATTCTTGCGTGTACATTTAATTTTATTTTCACTACCTGCAAACTCACAAGGAGCTCATAAAAGGCACTTTACCTCATGGTTGCTCCACGTTTGCCCTCTGCTCATTTTGTTTTGGTTACACTGCGTCGTCAAATCATGTCGCTTAGCGTCGCATCTTTTCATTACTTCCTGTTTTTGGTTCGTATAGAAGTATTTGGTCCGTGTTGCGTTCATATATCATTCGAACCGCACCAGAGTTCGTTTGGAAGCGGACCGAGACCCATCTTTTCAGCGGTCTTGGTCCGCTTGTTTGGTGCGCACCAGGGTTCGGATGGCAGCGTTCACACTTACTCAAACGAACCGCATTACCAGAGCAATCGCACCAGGGTTCGTTTTAATCGAACCAAACATGACAAGTGTTAACGCACCCTTAATGTCAGTGCAAACTGGCTACAGGTATGTTAAATTTGTGAAATGTGTAGTTTAGACTCTCCCGTCAGGTAATCATTTCTATGAATGTTTTCGTAGTCACAGTTTTTCTGTGTTTCGTTTTTTAGAGGAAGAAGTTCTGTACCAGAATTACCAAGAGAAAGCGCTTCACAATGATTCTGATGAGGACGCTGAACCCAAAGAACCTCAGCCAATTGAAGGCATTGTGGTCCAGTACAAACCCATCCGCACTTCCTGGAGTCAACTCAGTGTGGTGAGGAGCTATAGGCACACATTTTAACATTTTGACGTGTTAACATTTTTAAGTTTTGACGGACGCAAAGTTGTTTTTGAAATGCAACACACTCTATCAGCGTTCAGGAATGCTGATATCGCAAGGAATGTCATCCGACTCTGTTTTGCTGGGTGTCCCAGCCCCAGTTTTGCTTCACAGAGTACAAGAGAATGAAAGCAGGTGGTTTTTATCCAAATGTGGGAGGGAAAGAGAAGGAGAGTGGGCTGGGATAAGCTCGTCTTTTGGGAAATGGTCAGCAAATACTGGAGAATTCTTCCCTATGAAAAGAAAAAAAAGTGGAGATGGATAAAACAGTGTAGTGACTCCAGTTATGGAATTATGTAGTCAAGTATGGGTAGCTTTAATGCTATTTTTCCACTTAGGCATTCAATTTTCTAGTGCATTTGTTTACTAATATCCTGGTATTTTTAATCAGGAATGTTCTGATGCAGATAAAATTGAGAGAGAAGCAAACTGGATCACTCTAGATTGCCATGAATCAAGAACCACCAGCAGAAAGAACGAGCAAAAGAATGAGGAATGCTAGAAAACAATAAGTAAAAATTAAAAGTGTGAGATGCAAAGCAGAAAATATATTTCTAGGGAAACAATAAAAAAATATACTGAAAGAATGTGGAGTGACATGAAAAAAAGAAAGGACAGAGTGTATGAAAGGAATAAGGGAAAGTGTATAAGGCTGGAGTTGAGGGGTTGTGTGGTGTACTGTCAATTTTGGCAGGAGGGCATGCAGTTTTAAAGTAGGGTAACAAATGTATCCATCTGTAAAAACACCATCACATACACAAACAATACAAGTGCAGATAAGAATTTAGATTCATACTAACAACTATAAACACTTGATCTATCATGTGATTTTATTGCCATATGTTTGAATTTGAAGAAACTATAATACATTTAGGCACACATCATTTACTCACCCTTATTTCATTCCAGACCCATAGGATATCTTTGATACACAAATGGCAATCATTTTAAATGAAAGATGAGAGATTTCTGTTGCTCAATTGAAAGTCCCCAAAACTTTAATGCTTCAGAAAGTTCATAAAGACAAAAATGTAATTAAAATGAATTAAGTGATATAGTCCAAGTCTTCTGAAGAGACATAATCAGTTTATATGTTGAACTTATTTAATTTAGGCTTTTATTCACATATAAACATTGATCAATGGACATACATTAAAGGAATAGTTCACCCAAAAATGAAAATTTTCATTTTTGGGTGAACTATCCCTTTAAGATCATAAAATATGGTAAATGGAAGCTCAAATGTGTTTACTCAACCCTCTACAGTGTGAACGCTAAGAAAAACACAAGACACAGGACTGACATTACTCCCTCCTCCCTGAAGAGGGGTGGGAGCTCTGGAGGCCCCTCAGGACAGGCTTACACGGGACGGCAGGCCTCCAGAGCGGTACCCGTTCCGGGACCCATGGCGGATCAGGCAGGTCAGGGCGCCATGGTGGATCAGACAGTTCAGGAAGCCATGGCGGAGCAGGCAGACTAGGAAGCCATGGCGGAGCAGGCAGCTCGGGGAGCCATGGCGGAGCAGACAGTTCAGGAGGCCATGGCAGAGCAGACAGTTCAGGAGGCCATGGCGGAGCAGACAGTTCAGGGGGGCCATGGCGGAGCAGACAGTTCAGGGGCCTCGGGCTGGACGTGGGAACTCGAGCCCTTTCAGGAGCGGGCTCAGGGGCTGGAGCCCTTTCAGTAGTGGACTCAGGGGCTGGAGCCGACACTGGAGCGGACTCAGGGGCTGGAACCCACAGTCTCTTCCTACACATTCTCCTTTTATACTCAGAGGTGAAGGAGACTGCTGCTGTCAGCTGAGGGCTTGGGAGTGAATTGGCCAGTGGGCTTGACTGTGGAACGGCCGGCGACTTGACTGCTGAGCGGCCGGCGGGCTTGAGAGTGCAGCGACCGGCAGGCTTGATGGCGGGCTGGTTCTGGATCGGGGCCGGACGCTCTCCAGACACCGGTGGATCCCTTCCCTCTAGCTTAGTCCAGTGGTGTCTGGGAGGTCAGCGGGGCGGTAGTAATTTGCCCCGATCCAGAACAGAGAGTTAAGAGTGGCGTCATCTAACGCCGTCTTAACGGCGAGCCCACAGAACTCCCTGGTGTACTCCACAAACGGAAGATCTCTGCGGGCTAGGGCGGCGAATCTCACGGTGATTTCCATGATCGTGGAGGGGAAATACAGAAAACAAAACACTTTCAAAAAAGGAAACAAAAACAAGGAGAAGGGGCACCGCTTACTGTTTGGTCCTGTGTTCTGTCACTGTTATGCTGCTGTGGAGGAACGAAGGAGCACGGAGACGAAGAATTGCAATAATCACAGTCTTTTATTATATCCAAATTGGAGGAAGCACAGGGGAACCAGGAGACACAAACGCAGCATGAGGAATAGATGTTTAACACAGAACGAAGGACACAGGGCTTAAATACCAAGGAACTAATTGAGACACACCTGGGAGCAATGAACACAATCAAACACAAGGGAAAACTAGGTCACGGAGCACATGGGGAGCACGTTTTACTTCTAATTATTAAATTTCTATCTTATTATAAGTTTAGTTATGCTTTCAAATGATATATCACATATGAATGTATCTTCTTAAAATATATAACGTAAAGATATATACAGTATATAATATATATTTGCATGTGTGTCGAATAGTCCATGTAACATCAGCGGTTCAACATTAATTTTATGAAGCTACGAGAATACTTTTTGTGTGCAAAGAAAACAAAAATAATGACTTTATTCAACAATTTCTTCTCTTACGTGTCAGATTTCGACATGCATTCATGAGAGTACCATGACGCATGCGTGTGCATTCCTCTGTTTGCAGGTTCTACATTAGAACGCCGGCTCCCGCGTTAGCAGTACCACGCGCATGCGTCGTGGTACTCGCCTGAATGCGCAGCGAAGACTGACACGGAAGAGAAGAATTGTTATATAAAGTTGTTATTTTTGTTTTCTTTGAGCACAAAAAGTATTCTCATAGCTTCATAAAATTATGGTTGAACCACTGATGTCACATGGACTATTTTAACAATGTCCTTACTACGTTTCTGGGCCTTGAACGTGGTAGTTCCATTGCTGTCTATGTAGGGTCAGAAAGCTCTCGGATTTCATCAAAAATATCTTAATCTGTGTTCCGAAGATGAACAAAGGTCTTACAGGTTTGGAATGACATGAGGGTGAATAATTAATGACAGAATTTTAATTTTTGGGTGAACTATTCCTTTAATATTTTGAAATACCAGAATCAACACTAATATCTGTAGAGAGGGTTTTAGCCATTGGACTATGTAATGCTACCTTAAAGTCTACATAATAAAGCCATAGTGTCAGCAGTATGTGGAGTGTTTAAACGTTATGGTGGCTTGGGATTGTGAAATTACAAAATGTGTTAAAAAGACTTGGTGACTTGCCTGGATTCCTTTGTAATGCACATATGTTTACGATAACTAGACCATTTTATCATAAATGATGTCATGAGTCAACAGTCATGAGAGTTCTCTGCTGCTCGCTGCTCTCTGCTCTCCATATTCCCTGGAAAACTGGTGGTAAAACTTCAGTCCTCTGCTTTTCATTTCAGTTTTACTTGGATTCTCAGAAATCATTCAATTCCTTCCAGCAATTCGGAGAGGTGTTTAGAGACGGGAAGGTACACATTTTGAGGTCATGTTGCGTCACCTCATCTACTTATTTTAGTGCCCTTGGCAGCTTTGTACAGGAACCTGGACAAGAGTAGTCTGGGTGGAGTTGTTATCAGACATTTCACCACTCCTAGGTCTGTCTCTCACTGTCACAGTCCTTCATGTTTGCTCCCTAATCTCAAAATGACTTTCCTTTTGTGTGGCAGAATTATTATTTATTTTTTCTGTAATCACTGGTAGAAGGGTAAACTGTGCCAAATGGCTGTGTGGGCAATTCTTCAGTGGTGAAAATGTGTGATAGAAGGGTCAAAATTAGAGTCAAATATTTTGGCTACTTTTGGCTTGTATTGCAGGTGGCCTTTGGCCATTTGAGCCAGTTTCCCAATTTGTGTCCTCAGCCTGATTTCCTCTCTTACTGTAAATTTGATCCCAGCTAAGGGCATGTTTTTTGCACAAGGACCCAAAAAGGTTTTACTTAGCGTTGATTTACTTTTCCTTGGCCTGTGCGCTATTGTGCCTTTATTACCTTGTTTTTCTGACCTGGGTAAGAATTATCACAATGTGCCTCAGGTGTCTGTGGTTTTGCAGGGGGAAATGGCATAAGGTCAACTGGTTTAACTGTAATTGACAAACGGAAGCTCCATGCACTGTCAATATGTTTGATTGATTACCATTACACTAATGCTACACCAACACACACATGCCTCACATGTTGGTATTAGGGGTGTAACGGTACACAAACTTGACAGTTCGATACGTACCTTGGTTTTGATAACACGGTTCGGTACAGTTTCGGTACAGCAGGGGGAATAACTAAACATATATATATTAAAATTCTACAAAAGGCACATTTAATGTCCAATAACGAATTTTTTAGCAAAATGGCATATTTTACGAGCTGTTTTACTGACATCTTTCTAATGTTGAAACACTGATTGAGCGATTACATGAGGCGCGAGATGTTCATTTATGTTTATTTCGCGTTAAAACTAGTATAAAGAGGAAGCGATTATCACGCTCACTCGCGCTCCACGCTGCCGTTTGAACTGAGGTGTTTATACAGCGATCTGTTGCGCAACATCAAAGAGCGCCAAAATGGCACTTATTGTTTGAATTTCCTGAAAAAAGGACATAATTTGAAAGATGAGACTTTGTTTCTTAAGTAACAATACTTAAGAAACTGGAAGTTTCCAATGAAGTTCCGCTCGTGCAGAGGTTAAAACAACGCTCTGTTTGTTTGGTACACATGCGTACCGAACCGAAAGACAATTTTCGGAACGAAAAGGTGTACCGTTACACCCCCTAGTTGGTATTGAATATATTAAGGCACAAAGCATACACACACATGTTGAAAAGCTTTGAAGTTTTGCTTTATACACAGGACACATATGTACATTCGTTTTCTGTCCATTAAAGATAATTGTGCACTTAAAGAGTGGCAGTCTGGTTACAAAAGAGGCTGATTGTTGTGAATTAAGCCATTGAGAGACTCAGGACACTTTTCTCTAAAGCTTTTGGTCCAGACATTAGTCCATTTGATGTCTCCAAGAAGTATCCAAGCTTGTTTTAAACTTACCATTAAAGGGGTCATATGATGCGATTTAAATTTTTCCTTTCTCTTTGGAGTGTTACAAGCTCTTGGTGCATAAAGAAGATCTGTAAAGTTGCAAAGACTAAAGTCTCAAATCCAAAGAGATATTCTTTATAAAAGTTAAGAGTAAACCACGCCTACCTAAAACGGCTCATTCTAACACGCCCCCACGTCTATGTCACGATGTGGGAAGATTTACATAACGCCGCCCAAATGTTCACGCAAAGAAAGAAGGCGTAACTTTTATTCTCGCTGTAGTATTGCTGCCGCCATGTCGTGAAGACGCTGTGTGTTTTGTTGTGAAAGCGAAACTACTTTGTTTGGCTAATGTTCTTTTTAGCAACATCATATGACCCCTTTAAATATACCATATTGATATATAAAAAAAAAACAAAGAGAAAGAAAAGACATTTCATTTTTTGATATCAACATCATAAAATGCATTAAACATTACATTACACCAGGGTTTCCCAAAATGGGCTTAATGTAAGAACTGCAGTGGGTTTGTGAGTTGATAAAAAGCTAATAATTAAATCATAAAAATGTAAAATACAAAAATAAATAAATAATTTAAACACTTGGACATTAAAAATATAAATATTCTAATTGTTTACCTGCATGTCAGTGTGACCATTAACAACATCAGAGAACTATAAACATTGAGAATGTGATGATAAATTATTTGAAATATAAACTTCCTCAGAGATATTTCATGTGAATATTTTATTTTAAGAGGTTTGGCTAACAAAAATGTTTGGGAATCCCTGTATTATATGAACAAACATTATTAAACATAAAAACAATGACAATACATGCCCAAAGTCTTCTAGGTTTGAAATATTTTTGTCCAGACTTCCGGAATCAACAGTTACTGAAGGTGTTTGGTAACTTGCATAATTATTTGTTTCATACATTGTCTAATTGCTTGAGAGGTGCTTTCCCCCTCTTAAATTTAGAAGCATGGTTTGCAAGAGGAATCTCTGCACTTGGTTACAAAACATTTAAAGCCATTGTTGGTTATTTTAAATATCTGAAGAGTAAATTCAGGCTTCAGTTTGATTAATTTATTTAATAACATGCTGTCAGTTGAGACAAAAGTTCCCGGTGTTTTGGACCATCTTTCATACCGTTACTATGGTTACCAGAGTTAGAATACAGTTGTGACTTCAGCTGTTGAACAAAACATTTAAACACTCACACATGTAAGCAAATGCTGTATTCAGTCTGAAACAGTGACTGTGAACGCAGCCATGTTGTTTGCAGTTGTTGTAAAAGCAGTCTGTCCTAACTATTTGAAGAAGATTAACCTTGCCTCTCATACATATGGCCAGATTTATATGGAGATAGAATTGCTGCTTAATTCCAAATAAATAGATTACGATCCATAAATAAATGTAAAGAGATTAACAAACATTAAACATATTGACATGGCAATTTAACCTATTACACAAACAAATGTTTATTATGAGGCTGAGTTCAGTTATTTATTAGTCAGTTACTTATTAATGCTTTTATTTCCATATTGAATAACATGACGCTTCCATATCGCGTTTGAATCCAGTATAGCGTTGTTCCCATATCCGTGATTTAAAGCTCTGTTTCTCTGGCATTTTCAAAGGCACGTTAAATATAATACTGTGGCTTGGCATGATACACAGTCTAATGGTCTAACGAAATCCAATTTTAAACATCTTTTACTGTACCCATTTTATGGCCCTTATATTACCTATTTGAGCCAATGCAGATGAATGAAGTTATCTCAGGATGAGACCGCCCTGATTGTAAAGCAAAACGTGATTGGCTATAGCGAGATCGTGCTACGATTGGTCAGCGAAATGTGTCTGTTATCTGATTGGCTTGAGTAGACGGTGGGTGGAGTCCACGTATTTGTGGATTGTCAGCATGTCTCGACTGCAAGAAATGTTTCACGATTCACAAATGCGTGCAGCTATCTACAAATGCACAGGACGCGATTCACAAATAAATGCCAGGCAAAGTTGTGGTTGTGACATAAATACATATTGGTGAATTGATTTTATTTATTTGTGAATTTAATTCATGTTTGTGAAACTTTAAGATTTATTTGTGTATCTAATTCTATTTATTTGTCAATATGTTTAATTTTTGTTAATCTCTTTACATTTATTTGTGGATCATAATCTATTTATTTGGAATTAAGCAACAATTCTATCTCCATAGATTTACTAACAGTTTGCCCTAGCACAAACCCTCTATTGATGTTAAAATACTACAATTTGGGATTTGCTAATGACATGCATGTAGGACTCTCAGATGCAAATTTTACGGGAAGGGAGTATTTAAACAAATTATGCAAGGTCATTTTCTAAGGTTTGCAGTAGTCAATTTACTGGTATTTGTGACCAGTTATTTAATGACCAAAATCATGTTTGTGCCTGTGTTGTTAGTAGATAACCTGCAATGATTTTTATCAGCTTTGCTTGTTTGCAAACCTACACTAATTTGCTCTGCTGTTGGTAGATTGTGTTGGTCATTATGGAAATGATCTGCCTGCATCTTTGTTCTTTAACTTGTGCTTTGTCAGTAGATCACTCGCAGATTAGTAAATCTGGCCCTAAGTGTTAATGCATTCTGAAAGGTGTTTTTTTAATGTATAATTAATTTTCATTACTAAGTGAGGTGCTTATCCTCGACTCTGTATTCCAGGTTAAAAAAAGTGGAAAGTTTGAGATGTTAAGTCAAGAAGAACGGAAGCGACAAGAGGTAAGGTTCCACATGTCGACTTTCCTAACTTTCTCATTCTCTTTTTCGGTCTTGCTCATATCAAAGAGTTTTAAAAGACATATTATTTAAGTTTGAATTCTCTGCTACTTCGCTGGAGCCCCTCATTTGCCAGTTTGTATAAAACATTAAAATCTGACCTTGCACAGGCACCCTGAACTTTATCTATTAGTTTTGCATTAAATTTCACAAGTCATATTTACTCCAAACACATTAGGCTGATAAAGGATGATCATAAAGGAACTTGGACAAAACAGACTATATAATAAAAGATCCATATAAATTATTATTCTACTCTGTCCAAAGTTTGCAGTCAGTAAGATTTCATTTTGATTTATTTTAGTATTTTTATTTTATTAAAAATGTATTTCATTCAGCAAGGATCCATTTAATTGATGAATAGTGACATTAAAAAAAAAATCTTGTTAATGCTGGTTAAATGTTGTTCTTTTGAACTTGTAATTAATCACAGGAATAAATTACATTTGAAATATATTAAAATAGAAAACTGTTATTTTAAATTGTATTATTTCACAATAGTACTGTTTTTACTGTATTTTTGTTACATACATGTTTGATATAGTAAATGTTTATTGAGCAGTTCTTCAAGCTTAAGGCAAGTACAGTTTAAATATGAAAAAAGGTCCAGATATGTAAAAGGTACTGGGAATTTTCAGTTCTGTGTCAGCTGTCACCTGTTATTATCCATCTTTTTGTCAGCTAGGAGAGATCCTCAGAAATATGTGTATGATATCTGTAGTAATTGAACCTGGACAGTTGAAATGCAATGTCTAAATGACATTTCTTTCCCTCAGGCCATATTTGAGGTCATCTCATCAGAGCACAGTTACTTACATAGTTTGGAGATCCTCGTCCGCCTCTTCAAGAACTCAAACGAGCTCAGTGAGACCATTAACAAAACGGACCATCACCATCTCTTCTCCAACATTGTTGACGTCTGTGAGGCCAGCAAAAAGTAAGAGCTTCTCTTGACTGAACCTGAGATAAATTTGTGAAGTTTGCTGATAGCATCTCTGTTAGCTCTGAGAGTTTGCTGATATGGTGCTGATATATGGCCTTGGAAAATTAAGGTTTCAATTTCCACAATGAATATGGCAACCTGAGTGTGCTGACATCATATACTGACATGAGCTGCTAATTTTGGCTGGTTAGGTATTAGGTCTTGTCCTGGCATGCTATACTACATCATATTTACTGGAGTTTCTCAAAATGCTCAAGGGAAGTTGAAGATTGCCAGTGCATGTTTAATATATGAAAATTTTTATTTAGATTTTGACATGTGAAATGCTCAATACTGTTCCCATTCAGTTTGTAACAACCTGACCGGGGTTACTGCTTTCGTTGGGACAGTTTGGAGTGGTGTAACATCAGCACAACATGTTGGTATTAATTATTTCCAACGCCTGCTGGTAAATAGGAGAGATCTTTTTTAGTTCATTGTCCTTTTTCCACCACTTTTGAAAATTTGGTACACCATCAAAATTCCACCATGTCCATCAGATGCTTCAGGTAATAAAGGAAGCTGAAACTCAAAACCATTACATTTGCAGAGACAGATGTTATTTGCTGTTTCAACAGTCTTTTTGCTCCTGGCTATTTTCTATTGGATGATATGTAGCATGTTTAGTTTACGGGCATAGTCAAGTCACCTTTATTTGTATAGCGCTTTATACAATACTGGTTGTGTCAAAGCAGCTTTACAGAGTCAAACAGGAAAATAGTTTGTCACTGATGCAAGAAGACAATAACAGAGTAATTTTTCAGCTAAAGTCAGTTCATTGACGATTCATTGATGTCATCATCCAGTTCAGTTCTCTTCCAATAGTGTCTGTGCAATCAGTCAAGCGTCCCCAACTAAGCAAGCCAAAGGCGACAGTGGCAAGGAACCAAAACTCCATCGGTGACAGAAATGGAGAAAAGAAACCTTGGGAGAAACCAGGCTCAGTCGTGGGGCCAGTTCTCCTCTGACCAGACGAAACCAGCATGGCGTGGTTTAATTCCAGGCTGCAACACAGGTGCAGAGGTCTTGTGCCGATGGTTGTCAAGGTGACAAGGTCTTCGCAAGGGATCTGTCTCTGGGGAGCATCTAGTTGACATGGTCTCCGCTGACATTCAGGGCTGTAGAGGTCGTCTCTAGGTGCTGATCCACCATCTGGACTGCCATCAAGTGTTAGACAGTGTTTTAGGTTATTACATGCAGAGGTTTTTGGTCCAATAATTAACACCTCTGTTTTTTCAGAATTTAGCAGTAGGAAATTACTAGTCATCCAGTTTTTTATATCAACTATGCATTCCGTTAATTTTGCAAATTTGTATGTTTCATCGGGCCGTAAAGAAATATAGAGCTGAGTATCATCAGCATAACAGTGAAAGCTAACACCATGTTTCTTGTTGATATTTCCCAAGGGCAACATGTAAAATGTAAAAAGCAACGGTCCTAGTACTGAGCCTAGTGGCACTCCATACTGTACTTGTGATCGATATGATATCTCGTCATTTACTGCTACGAATTCATGATGGTCAGATAAGTAAGATTTGAACCATGACAACGCAAATCCACTATGCCAACATAATTTTGTAGTCTGCTCAAAAGGATGTTGTGGTTGATAGTGTCAAACGCAGCGCTAAGATCCAGTAGCACTAATAGAGAAATACAACCACGTCGGATGACGATTTTGGAAGTAAAGAAGTTCATAAAGGCATTACTTTTGTGCTGTTGGGAAATCTCTGCATCTGTTGATGCTTTATTTTTCATTAATTTAGCCACTGGGTTGTGTTTGTTCTCTTCTAAGAGAGACGAAAAGTAAGTAGATCTAGCAGTTTTTAGATCTTTTCGATAAGTAGAATTACTTTTCCACCATGCAATATGAAATACCTCTAGTTTTGTTTTCTTCCAGCTGCGCTCTATTTTCCGGGCTGCTCTCTTTAAGACGCGAGTGTGCTCGTTATACCACGGTGTCGAACTGTTTTCCTTAATCTTCTTTAAAGGGATAGTTCACCCAAAAATGAAAATTTGACGTTTATCTGCTTACCCCCAGGGCATCCAAGATGTAGGTGACTTTGTTTCTTCAGTAGAACACACGTGCTGCGGGGTTCGTGCAGGGAAGGGCAGTGGTCAGGAAGGAAGGATCCAGGTAAGGGGGGAGTCCGTCGGCCACACGCGCTCCCCTCTCCGGTCCGGGGCACGAGGGGCGGCGGCTTCTTTCAGCGGCTTCGTCCTTCTCTATGTCCACGGCGCTTGAAGGGACTAGACGGCCCGGCATCCTTGCCCGACGGCCATGTAACGGGTGCGGTTCTCGTCCGGACTGCGGGTCTGGCAGCTCACGACTCTGGCGGCACGAGAGTCCCTCTACCTCCTGGACCCACGAGGACACCAGCGTGCATGCACGGGGAAGAGACCGGTCTCCCGAGGAGAGGCGTGCTCGGCATTTAAACAGCGGCGGTGATGAGGCCCCATTCGGTTCAGGTGTGCCCCATCACACGCGGCCAGCCCTGGCTATTTCAGCGCCCCTCCTCTCTCACGCACCCACTCATGTCGGGAGCCTAGTGATTAAGGGACGGCGTGATGCTGATAATTAGGGGGAGGCAGCCGACTCGTCACAGTGTGTTGATATCCAGCCGAAGAGCAATCATCCGTAACTTCAGGCGAGCAGGCTCAGAAGTTGGGAATATGTGGAAAGTCACCACTCCCGAATGAGTTCGCGCGAATATACGCGCGAGAGATCACTTCCGGCGCTTGTGTAAACTAAGCCAGAGTGCGTACACACCTCACGCACCGGAAGCTGTGCACGCGCCCAAAGACAGTTGGACGTAGTGGTGTATTAGAGGTAAAAAATGATATAAATACTGTTCGGTTTCTGGCACAAACCGATCGTTTCGTGTCTTAGGACATCAATGTGTCGTCACGAGCCGCAGGGTTTAATTTGGATTTGTCTGTGCATGTTTTTTTTACTCTCATAGAGTTTGTTGCCATTGCCATGCATTATAAGACTGATAGACTGCAACGGTTGGACTTAAAAATCATCAAATGTGTTCTACTGAAGAAACAAAGTCACCTACATCTTGGATGCCCTGGGGGTAAGCAGATAAACATAAAATTTCATTTTTGGGTGAACTATCCCTTTAAGCGTAAAGGAGCAGCCGTATCTAAAGTTCTAGAAAAGAGAGATGTAATAGTTTCTGTTACATCTATTGTAACAGAGCTATTGGATATGCTGAGGGATTGAGACAAGTCAGGAAGATTATTTACAAAGCAGTCTTTTGTGGTAGAAGTGATGGTTCTACCATATTTGTAACA